AAAAATGTATAATTTCTTTATTGGGAGATGGGAAGAGGAATAAAAGCAACCAATAATATTGTTCCCCATCCTACCCCAAACTCATTTTGGTGCTTTTCAGATATTGAAAGCCTGTTGCTGCTATTGCCTGATAAATTCCTGCACGGAATGTATGGGAATGTAGAAGAAAGAAGAAAGGGACATGGAACAAACCGGGAGGGGAAAATCAAAGATATGCTTTTTGTCTTGATCATTGTCTTTCAGTCACAATTCTAAATGCTAAACAAGGATGTTTATGACTTACCTCAGAGAATGAAGATATTTACAAAATAAGATGCTCTAAACATCTTTGGTGTTCAAAACATTGCAAAATAATAGTTTAGTAAGTTTTAGAAAATCAAAAGCAATAAAAAGACAGCACAGCAAAAATGACATATAGAAAATTCAGTACATTGTTTCAGTGCAATGGATTTCAATTGTGTTCTATATTTTTGGTACTTTTATACACATTTTTGGGAGTTTTCCCTTTAATTTGAAAGACCCTGTAAATCCCTTTCTTGAGGAAGGCAAAATAAAAATCAAGTACATGGGTACTTATCTATTTATTCCATTCATGCTATTAAAATAACATAAAATGGCAGTTCAACAGAGCCCTTAGTAACGCTCATCTGAATGATTGTAGTCACAAGAAAATTATGACCTCATCATGGAATAGAACTTTTTGACATCACTGGTGGCAGTTCAGCAGAAGCACTGGTGGCTTGGGTTGGAGCAGCAATAGTGGTGTCCATTCTCTTCTGAGGATTAAACCTACTATGGTAAGGCATTGTCTCCATGATATTCTTCTACAAAAGAGAGGAGAATATCTAAGTCTTAAGGGGTGACACGAAAGAACAGCTACAACATACATTTTCCAAATTTGGGATGCACTTGGGACTGCTATCTCCCTGCAACATATCCAGCCCAGGCAAAGCTTATCAATAGCCGATGATTGTACCACAGTGACGCAACTTATCTTCTGTGACACTCTTCTGCCAGCAGAAAAGTTACATTAGAGAGTGGGATTCTCTCTCTCTCATCCTTTCTCAATCCCAGCATTTAGAGATGAAAATGAAATTTTACTGGAACTATAAGGTAAAGGTTTCCCCTTGACATTAAGTCTAGTCGTGTCCTACTCTGAGGAGTGGTGCTTATCTCCATTTCTAAGCCGGAGAGTGGGCATTGTCAGTAGATGCCTCCTAGGTCATGTGGCCGGCATAACTGAATGGAGCACCATTACCTTCCCGCTGAAGTGATACCTATTGATCTACTCATATTTGCATGTTTTCGAACTGCTAGGTTGGTAGAAGCTGGGAACCGCTGACCTTCCAGTCAGAAAGTTCTGTAGCTTAGCAGTTTAACCTGCTGTGCCACCGTGGAACTATAACATTGCTTAAATAAAACATCATGGTGAAATACTGTTGTGGGAGGGCAGATTTGTCTCCCTAATAAGACATATGACCCTGAAACCATGAATTGTAGCTGTTGTGCAACCATGAAAAAAATGAAATGTTATTATTTTATTATTATTATGTTTGTATATACTTCACATTTTCTCTCCACAAGGAGACTCAAAACAGCTCAATACCAGGGGTAATCATCCTGGTTAGTTCCCAATAGCGTTGATGACGATAATGATGATATTTTATATTTTGCTTTTACCTCTTCATTGAGATGCAAAATAAGATTGCACAAATGGAGACTGCGCAAATACCACGGGATGCCAAAGTCCTTAAGAAAGGTAAACAGTGAGACATTGATAAACGAGACCTTTAAAATACAGGGGTAGGGAATCCTTCTGCCCTTTCAATGTTTTGGATGACAGCTCCTGCAAATCCCTCACCTCTGTCCATACTGGTGGGGGTTTCTGGATTATTATTTGGCAGTGTAGACTCATATAATCCTGTTCAAAGCAAATAATGTGGATTATCTGCTTTGCTAACCTGGATTATATGGCAGTGTAGAAAGGCCTAACAGAAAGAGAGAAGTTGGTAGCATAAATGTCCATATAGTGACCTCTTCTTCCTCAGCTGCATTTGAGAAAGTAAACATAAGTCTCTGAAAGTGTATGCTACCAACTTTTTTATTTCCATCTCAAAGGTGCTACAGGATCATCTTGCATATTTGCATTAACCTTGTGATTGCAGCTTTCCAGAGGGCAACTTCATTCCTTTTGCAGGATTACTGTATATCCTCAGTAAATGGTGGAGGAGGACTCTTATAGTTCAAGTGCTAGGCGAGTTCACCCCGTTCCTCAACCATTTATAAATCTGATCTCTGTTCCATCTAATTAAACACAAACTTCTTCCCAACTTCTGATCTGTCCCAGGAAACAGGCAGAGAGTCCCATTCCTCATCGGAGTTCTCCAACTATGGGGCCGAGTCCATTCATCACACAGACAAGGAGATTCAAGCGGACTTGGATCGCACCAGCAATATGGGAAGCTCTTATCAAGAAGGCAGTGCGGACCTTAAGGAAATGCAGGCAGGAATTGAGTTTGCTGTGCAGATAACACCAATTAAAGAATCCAAAAAGCACCAGGAAAAGACTGTAAGTGGGGACAATCAGTTATTTACAGGAAGGAAGGTGTGTTTTGGGGAAAGTAAAGAAGCTGCCTCAGGATGAATGTCACAAAAAGCCAATAAATCATTATTTCTGCCCAGAAAGCATAATGATATTACCTGAAAAAACTTTCAAAGACATTCTCACAGCAGGAACATCACTGAGAAAATCATTTATTGAAAGGAAAGACAGGGAACACCTACACCCCCAGTTAAAGGGCATGTCAACTGCCTTGAAGGTGGTGGGTTTCATGACAAATGGTTTCACCGTGTCTGATGGTACTCCCTGCTCTCAAGGTGTGCTTCACTCATGAACCCTGTCTTTGAAAATAGATTCCACCTAAACATTAGGAAGAACTTTTGAATGGTAATTGCTGATCAACAGTGGGAAACCTTCCTCAAGCATTGTTGGAGTCTCCTTCTATGGAAGCTTTTAAACTGAGGATGGATGGCCACCTGCCAGGAATGCTTGAATAGTGTTCTTGCATGGCAGAATGAGGTAAGTTGATCTGTTGTGGTCTCTTCCAATTCTATTTTATGAAATAGCTTTAGCATCTTTAAAATTCAGACTAAAATCTGGAGTTACAGTTCTACTGATATGGAAGCTGCCGGTTATCACTGTGCCCAAGACCCATGCAGAAAGCTCAGCCAACCTAAATTTCTCTTTAGCAGGTTTCTGTCAGATGTAAGGCCCATAATGGAGCACTTTAGGTAGCAGTTGGAAGTGGCCTTGAATTTGGTGGATGGAAACCCTTTCCATTCATCTGAGGGATCCCAGACTGGAGCCTTACATGCAGCAATCCTAGGCTGCATCTGCACTGTTGAATTAATGCTGTTTGACCACCATGTTAACTGCTTTTTAAAAAATTTCATACCAAAAGCATTGCATGCTGCTGTGGCTCAATGATATCATAGAATGATAGAATGATAGAGTTGGAAGAGACCACATGGACCATCTAGTCTGACTCCCTGCTATAAAAGAAAAGCACAACCAAAGTATCCCTGATAGACGGTCATCCAGCCTCTGTTTAAAAGTGTCCAAGGAAGGAGCATTCACCACACTCAGAGGCAGAGTGTTCCACTGTTAAACAGCTCTTACAGTCAGAAAGTTATTCCTAATGTTCAGGTGGAATCTCATTTCCTGTAATTTGAACCCATTGCTCCTAGTCCTAGTTTCCAGGGCCCTCTTCCTTATGGAACCCTTTCACATATTTATATATGACTATCACGAGCTGGCATGTGATGGCAAAAGGTTTAAACCCACTTATTCTTGCTCAGAAAAACAGACTACAAGCAACTTAAAATGACCAGCTATCTAATGGATTGTTAAATTTGAACTGGGTAGTCTGTTGAAAGAAAATGCAGGAAATGACTATTGGATGTCATTAGTATTAGGTAGCCGGCCCAAATTTTTAGGAATTTTATGGTTGTCAATTTTTTTCTGATTTTATCAATGAGATTTCTATGCACTGTTGATTTTACTTGTGTCATTGTGTTTGTGCATATGTATTGTTGTCTGTGTGTGGCACTTGAAGTGCTTCTGTGAGCTGCCCCGGAGAGATGGTGCGGGGTGCAAATATTTATTATTATTTATTTATTATTACTACTGTAGGGTTACAATCCTGATAGTCCTCATAGTTGCAGATAAAGACAAAGAACTGGGTGGTTCCATTTCAATTTATTTTATGTTATTTTAATCCAGTGGTTTCCAGCCTGTGGTCCACAAGTACTAAAATATGGTCCGCGGTCTTACTGTTACTACACCATTGCAACGAGAGCAACTGGTCTTGCAAAACCCTCGTATAGTGCTAAGGCTTATTAAATATGGTTTTCTATGGGTGAGCAGATGGCGACTACTGGATGGCATATGTTCTGTATCAGAAACTAGAGCTGATGTGGTCTATCCAATGAAATTTTCTGAATCAGCACCCAAATAATCAAACCAAATCTAAAGTTGACCAAAAACTGATTTGTAACCCTTTTGGTACAAATGTTGGAGAGTGGTCCCTGATCAGAGTGGTCCCTGTTCAAGTAATCTCTGGTCAAAAAAAGGTTGGGAGTTACTGTTTTAATCTCACCTATATCCCATAGGGGCTCAAGGTGACTAACAAAACATGACACAATCCAAATAGAATTTTAAAACAAGGCAAATAGTAAAACATGTGTTTGTGTCATGAAAACAAAAGTTAAAATACAGTTAAAATTATATTGAAAAGCTAAACATCCCTCCCCCTTCCCCAGAGTGCCACCCACAACATTTTCAGGAGTAAACCTATCCTGGCATTTTTATCTCAACTAAGGGAAAGTTTTTTGTAGTACTATGCATGTTCCTTCAAGTTAATATGTCAATTTATGGCAATACCACAGAATTAATATGGTTTTCTTAGGCAAGGAATACTCAGAGGGGTTTTGCCAATTCCTTCCTTTGAAATGAAGCCCATAGACACTGGTGACGCCTATCCATGTGGTAACTGCTTAGCTTCAAGATCAGATGGGATTTGTTAATTTTAGGTGGTTAGGGATGATCTTGTGTCATTCAAATTCAAGTCATAATAACATACTTTGCATTATGATAGGGAGGAGTTGCCAGCAATATATTGTTGCTGGGAAAATCCATCTTGTGTCCGTTTTGTAACCACAGCCAGCATTTCATTTTAAAGGGTTGCAGCTCAAAGGAAACAAGGACACCTGAGGCAATAGGTGCCTAAGTTTTAGCCATGCGAACCCTTGCTTCAGTATACCAATGGCTGACTTGGGTAAAGACAATTGTTTCTCCTGCCCTTTTGTCATTATAGGATGCAGTGATAGAGACCCCAGGCTCTTCGTTCAACCACGATGATATAATGGAGACCTTAGACAATAAGAACCAAGCTGTGCGGCTGGCAGTCAGTGCTGCAAGAGGGACCAGTACTTTGCAGCCAGAAGCCTTCTCCAGGATTGCTGAGGGCAGCAGTTTAGAGGGAATGGGTCAACTGGGCATCAGGCATATCACAGCAACCGACCTTGACTTGGAGAAGATGAGACTGGAAGGGGCCATGACCCGGCTGAAGTACAGACAAGAGGACAACGAAAAGCAGAGGCAGCATGAGGAAAAAATGGCACAGATGCGTCTCCAGGCCAGATCTCGATCAGTAAGTAGGACAAAACCATGGAGAAACAGAGTAAGAGAGTGGGCAAGAAAGAAAGTTAACCCACAGAAAAAAGTAACCATGAGGTGAAGAAAAAGTAAGATCTAACAATGCTTCCTAAGGCACTCAGGCTCAAGTCTGCCCTGAAGCAGTGAAACAGAAATATAACTGGAATGTGTCCAGAGAAGGGCAACCAAAAAGGTCAAAGGTCTGGAAGCCAATAAGGAAAGACTTAGGGAACTGGGTATCTTTATTTAACTGAGAAAAGAAGGCTGACAGCAGATATGTAACGGTAAAGGTTTTCCCTGACATTCAGTCTAGTCGTCTCCGTCTCTGGAGTTTGTGCTCATCTCCATTTCTTAGCCGAAGAGCCAGTTTTGTCCATAGACACCTCCTAGGACACATGGCCAGCATGACTCCATGGAGTGCCATTATCTTCTCGCAGGAGCAGTACCTATTGATCTACTCACACTTGCATGTTTTCAAACTGCTAGGTTGGCAGAAGCTGAGCCTAACGGCAGGAGCTCACCTCACTCCCTGGATTCGAACCACTGACCTTCCGGTCAGCAAGTTCAGCAGCTCAGCTGTTTAACCTGTTGACATGAAAGCCATGTTTAAATATTGGAAAGGATGCCACACTGAGGTGGGGACAAGCTTGTTTTCTGCTGCTAGGACACAGAGCAATGGACTCAACTGGCATGAAAATAGATTCCACCTAAGCATTAGGAAGAACTTCTGATGGTTAGAGCTGACTGACAGTGGAATATGCTCCCTCCGAGTGTGGTGGGGTCTCCTTCTTTGGAGGCTTTTTAAACAGAGAATGAAGGGCCATCTTTTTTAGAGTGCTTTGATTGATTGCTCCTGCATGGCAGAATGGGGTTGGACTGGATGCCCTTGGGGTCTATTCCACCTCTATGGTTTAGCACTACACTGTAGCCTTAGAGTACTACATATCTACTTAGAAGGAATATAATGCGCACCTCCAACATTTCAGAGATGAAAATTTATTTATTTATTTATTTACTTTGTTTATATACCACTTTTCTCAGCCCTCAGGCGACTCAAAGCGGTGAACAACATCGATACAAAACATCACGAGACAAGTATAGGGCAATTAAAAACAATTGTAACATAAATCATTAAACATCAGTATAACAATCATTAGCGCCTCAACAGTAAAATCAGAATCCAGGCTCATCATCCATTATTCTGTATTCCTATGTTCAATTACACTGTTTAATCAAATGCTTGTTCGAACAGCCAGGTCTTCCCTTTCCTCCGAAACGCCAGCAGGGAGGGGGCTGATCTGATATCTGCAGGCAGGGCGTTCCACAGCCGAGGGGCCACCACTGAGAAGGCCCTGTCTCTCGTCCCCACCAAGCGCGCCTGTGATGCAGGCGGGACAGAGAGCAGGGCCTCCCCAGATGATCTTAGTGTCCTAGCCGGTTCATAGGAGGAGATGCGTTCGGAGAGGTAAGTAGGGCCAAAATGAGCCTCACAGATGAAAATGAGCCCATAGAACCACTATGCCCTATTTTTAGCCAAGCAATATCAGAGTGTAGTCAAGATCACCAAAGTTATTAATGAGGAAGAACAGACAACCTCAGACAGGCTGTTGTTGAACTGTGTTATATGAGTCTACATTGAGCCATTTCAAAGTGTAGGTAAGGCCATAGTTTGTAGCAATGGAAGTAAGCTGAGAACAGAGAGGTGAAATGGGAGGAGGAGAGAGAAATTGGTACATTCGAAGAAAAAAAATGGAACAACAGAGAGTTATTAGCACTGTCCCTTCAAATCAGAGCAGTTGGAGGGTATGTTAATGGGGCTTCGTCCCTGACCGGGCACATATAAAATGGCTGAAATTGCAGTCCTAGTTACCTTGTTATATGGGCATCAGTCCTACTGATCCCCATAAAACTTACTTCTGAGTAGGTATTCCTATAAGTACCTTTATTTCCTTCTGCGTTAAAATCAGGGCAGCTGATTCAAGGGGCTACTTTATGAGCCAACCTATGATTTTCTGTCTCATCTCCTCCTGCTTTTTCCCCTTTTCTTTCTCTAGATTGGAGAAGAGCTTCGTGAATTACTCCAGCCTCAGAACCAGTATGCCCTATTTTTTTTCTGCTTCATATTTATCCATGTTATTTACACTGCCAAGGAGCTGGCTTTCTATTTTGTTACCAAACACCACCTATTCTGCTTTGTTGTGTTGCTGTATTTCCTTTGCAAGAAGATCCTCTTGGATTGCAAAGGCCAGAAAAACTAATTGAGAAATAGCAGCAGACTCTCGACTGTAAAGGAAAAGGGACAAAAGAATCCCTGTTTTTTCCATCTCTGCTCTGTCCTCTCGTCTTTCCTCTTGATACTTCTTCTTTCCTAAGGTGAACAATAAATACAAATCTCAGCGTGGTTATATTAAGGACACGTGCTTTAAAAAATGATATCTGCATACAGATGTATTATTTTAAAAATTGGGTCTAGCGCCCCTGGGAAACATACTTATTTTAAAGGTATGGGGCACAAAGCAGACCATTAAAAATAATTAAAAGTGACCCTGGTTGTACTGAAAAAGACATCATGCATGGATATAATAGCCTGAACATGGAACATTTTTTCTTCCTTAGACTGTAGTCTCCAGAATCTTCCAAACACTATGGATAAGTGGATAAGATTCTGGAATTTTTAACACCCCCAAAAAGTCATTTCATGAAGCTCTGAAGTCGCATAATAATAATAATAATAATAATAATAATAATAATAATAATAGGTAAAGGTAAAGGTTTTCCCTGACATTAAGTCCAGTTGTGTCTGACTCTGGGGAGTGGTGCTCATCTCCATTTCTAAGCCGAAGAGCCGGCATTGTCCATAGACACCTCCAAGGTTATGTGGCCGGCATGATTGCATGGAGCGCCGTTACCTTCCTGCTAGGGTGGTACCTATTGAAATATTCACATTTGCATGTTTTTGAACTGCTAGGTTAGCAGAAGCTGGGGCTAACAGTGGGAGCTCACGCGGCTCCCTGGATTCGAACCTGTGACCTTTCAAACCTGTCAACAAGCTCAGTGGTTTAACTCACTGCGCCATCGAGGGCAACAACAACAACAACTTTATTTTGTATCTCGCCACCATCTCCTTAAGGGGATTCGGGGTGGCTTATATGGGGACAAGCCCGGTCAAACATAGATTAAAACATAAAAGTATAACACAATAAAATTTATAAAAGCAACATCATAAACAACATAAAATAACAATAGCCTGACAAAGTAATCAAATACTAAACTTGGGTGGGTAGGGGCTTGTGCAATGAAGTTGGAAGAGCAGGGCAGTTGGAAAAAGTGCAGGAGCCAGATGATAAATTAGGGCTAGAAGAGCAATATCAATTAGAACATTAAATCTATAGGACAAAGAACAGGGGCAAAGTGCAAGAATGTTTCATTTTTTTTCAACCTGGCCCATTCAGGATGTATCAGGGTCACCTGTAACACTGGGGAAGTTGGCTAGGGACTGATTTGGGGCATCACAACGTTGTATAGATTCAATCCTTTGCTTCCTTTAATAATGAAACAAGCAATAAGTAATTTTAGGAATTTTCTTCCTTCTGCAAGTTAGTCTTTGATGCTTTTTGAAAACTGTTCTCAGTTTGGGAGTTGTTCTGTCTAAATGTGCAGCTTTTTTGGGGGTACAGAAAACATTGTTTTCTGTATAGATAATATTCAATGCAAAAATATTTCTCTGTGCAGACAGTGCTGCTACCTAAAATGATGTTTTCTATACCAAATTTTGTAGAATAAGTCCCAAATGGTAAAGAACCAACCAAGGATTTTCCCTGCCAGGGTTTTCCAATGCTCAAGGAACACATTTTTTCAAAGGTTTGGAGAATTAATGCAGCTTGACACTGCTTTAACTGCTAGGCTCAATGTGAAATCCTGGGAGTTCTAGTTTCACAAAGTCTTTAGCTTTTCCTGCAAAAGAATGCTGGTGCTTCACCAAACTACAAATCCCATGATTCCATAGCATTGAGCCATGGCAGTTAAAACAGTGTCAAGAAACACCTCAACTTTTTCTTAATTGCTACTACATAGTATGCACTGAGAATTCCAGGAGTTGCAGTCCAAAATAACCTTTCCAGTGGTACTTTTTTCACCTGCCCCCAAAAATCTCTCCCCTCCCCACTCCAATTTGTTCTTGGGAACAGGGAAGCCCTTATTATTGATATCCTTCGGGGGTGAGGTGAGGATCTAAAATCCTTGCCAAAGATTTCTGTGACCCAGGCTGTATCTACACTGTAGAATTAATGTCATCTGACACCGACTGCCATGGCTTAATGCCATGGAATCCTGGGACTTATAGTTTGGAAAAGCCCAGCAATCATTGACAACTAAATCTAAAGATCTTGCAAAATTACAACTACTGGGATTCTATAGCATTGAGCCATGACAGTGTAAGCAGTGTCAATTTGCAATAATTCTACCATGTAGATGTACCCCCAGGCAGCAAGACTAAGGTGGGCACAAGATTGAGGAGCGAGCAAGCTTGGTTTCTGCTGCGCCAGAGATGAAGATGTGGAACAATGTATTCAAACTACAGAAAAAGACATTCCACCTAACTATTAGGTAGAACGTCCTGATGGTAAGTGTTCTTTGGCAGTGGAATATGCTTCCTTGAAGTCTGGTGAAATCTCCTCCTCTGGAGGTGTTTAAATAGATGCTGGATGGCTATCTGTCAAGAGTGCTTTGATGGCGTCTTCCTGCATAGCAGAAGGGTTGGACTAGATGGCCTTTGGGGTATCATCCAATGCTATGTTTGTATGATTTTATGAGGGTGATTGGAGCCCCCGGTGGCGCAGAGGGTTAAACTCTTGTGCCAGCAGGACTCAAGACCAACAGGTCACAGGTTCGAATCTGGGGAGAGGGCGGATGAGCTCCCTCTATCAGCTCCAGCTCCCCATGCAGGGACATGAGAGAAGCCTCTCACAAGGATGGTAAAACGTAAAAAAAAAAACACATCTTGGTGTCCCCTGGGCAATGTCCTTGCAGACGGTCAATTCTCTCATACCAGAAGTGACTTGCAGTTTCTCACGTCCTTCCTGACATGACCAAAAACAAAACAAAACAAAACAAAAAACATGTGATGAGGTCTCTTTGAGTGGAGGCTTTTAAACAGAGATTAGATGGCCATCCATGGGAAGTGATTTGATTGTGTATTCCTACATGGCAGAATGGGGTGGGACTAGATGGCCCTTGGGGGTTCTTTTGACTATGATTCCTTGGCTAGAAGGTGATCATCACAAAAAGCCAGCTGCCTACAGACTCTTCAGTGAGCAGCATAGCAAAGCTGTCAAGAAACTCCACCCCTGAGCAGCCAAAGGCAGCAGCAGGAGAATCAGCAACTCTTTAAGAAAGCAAGAGAGGAAGAGGGGAAGTATCTGGTGGACCCAGAACCTCAAAGGCGTGGATTTAAGCTGCTCTTAAAGGCAGTGAATAATAAAGAAGGACTCCTGGATGCCTACGATTGCCTCTATAGAGCTTCCTCAGCTAAAGGTAAGTTGCATGGATCAAAAAAGCAAAGAGAAAAGGAATCAGCAGCAACCTTGAAACAACAGTGTCATCCTCACCTGTCTGTCAGCCTGAGCTCAAAGTTTAAACCTGGTGCAATGCAATGACAAAAAGTAAACAATAAGGTTCTCAGGTTTAAATTTAGTTTTTGGTGTGACCCAAGGAGAGAGTAATGTTCCTCATTCAGAAGAGGACTCAGAGTCCTGTATGATCCCAAAATTGGGAAAATTAAGTAATTTGGGTATCATGCTAAAACTGCTCTTTGGTGCCACTATTAAAGAAATAGGAGCCTCCTACTCTTTACAGGTGACAGCCCTATGTGCTGTAAGGTTTGTTTTCAAGTCTACTTGCCTGTAATATGGGAAATACAACAACAACAACAACAACAACAGTGTTTCACCTTACAAGATGATTGTGAGGATAATTGCTTAATATTAAGATAATTGCATAATAATAATAATAATAATAATAATAATAATAATAATAAAGATAATTACCTAATAGATACCTATTAGGTAATTATCTTTATTATTATTATTATTATTATTATTATTATTATTATTATTATTATTATATGTCAAACAGCTACACACTGTCAGAAGAAATAACCTGTAAGTAATATATCTAGCAGTGTATATGCTCATCAATCCACCCATAATGTATACCATCACCAATGATATATAAATACTAAGTATTAGCATCATTGATGTTATTACTTTTAATAAAAATGCAGCATAACATTAACTAGTAACTTAGATAAGTCAGTCATTTAAAAGTCAACCATCTTCCTCTTCCTCTTCACTTTTGAAAGGGAACTTAATTTTGTTTCATTTTCTCATCCTACACATCGGCTGAATAGGAATTAAAATAAGGGCTTACTTACAAAGTAGTAGGTGGGATTACTAAAAAATAGTACATGAAAATGGCATAGAAATGCTTAGACTGTGATTAAGAATAGTAATTTGTGTGGGATTGCCAGAATCAAAAGTGGAAAGGGTTTCTGTACCTGTTATGTAGAATTCCAACAGGTGTCTGTTACCTGGTTGTGTGCCAGGCCCCACCTGCTGAATTGCTACATGATCTTTAAAGGTACAGGAACCTCATTCTGTTTCTAATTTGGCAGTCTTAAATTTTTGACTATTTTTTGTAAGGAATATGCAGTATTTTCTCTGCCCATCTATTTATAGTATGTGAATTAAGATAATGTTTCAGTTTATAATGTTGTGGCATTGATCATTAAGATAATATCTAGCCATCATGTATAAATGCCAATTGCTTGCAAACATCAATTTGTGACTAAATTATTTTGCTAATGAACATGTGTTGTGTTATTTCTGCCTGTTTGGACTATGAAAATAATAATAATGAGGTCATTGATGGGATTCCCAAGGATCTATATTTTCCATATTCACAGAACTGACATACGCGGTTTCACTTCTCACACTTTAACTTCTAGCTTCCTATATAAGTTAAACTTTCTTCTTGGGACCTCCACGATTTGTCCTATTGGAAATAATAGGGTTGCAGTTATCCACGATTCCACATATCTGCAAAAACTCCAGGAACATATATTTTATAGATATGGGAACCATACTGTATATTGTTATGAATATGGTGTGACATATTCATTCAGTTGGACATTTAATTGTTGTGATGAATCTGTAGCAAACTGGAGAAAAGGGGTTAGCTTGACTTTCTGTTAGTGGTTGTG